CTCTCGTTCAGCAGCATAGGGAGATCTGTGATCACAGCCGACAGCCGGCTGGTCACTGAGCTAAGATTCCAAGTAGATAGTGTGCAGAGCAGTGTGATCGTGATACCTTCACAGCGTCATTACAAGCAAAAGCGGATTAGATGAGATCCGAAGCTCTGACAACAACAAAAAACATACATCGGTCAGCTGTTTCGTGATTTGGGCCAACTATTCGGGGCCCAAGACAGACTATGACAAGTGGGGATGAGGACTCCGAAACGAGGTGCCAAACTGGACATGTGTTAAACAAACTCGAGCTTCTGTACAAAACCATGACACCCAGTCATAACTGCAAAAGCTGCGCCAAGGGCATGATCTTTTTTAACGTGTTTCCCTTTCTCACACAGCATAGGTAAAACTTGATTAAGGAGGCTGTCGGTAAAACTGCTTTCTAACACGGAGAGAGATTTTCAAAGACGTGCGAATATCGTGACGCGTAAAGATGAGCAAAAATTCAAACTCACCGGCACTCTTTTGCAAGCACTTATTCGGCATTGTCCGAATGAGGGGGTGCTTTTGCAAAGAAGGCACCTGTAATAAGTCCCGTACTACACAGCCACAAAGAGCCCACGCTACACATCATCCTTCTCGGCCCGTACTACACAGCCACAAAGAGCCCACGCTACACATCATCCTTCTCGGCCCGTACTACACAGCCACAAAGAGCCCACGCTACACATCATCCTTCCCGTCCAACCATGCCTGCCCGAAACACGCTAATCATGATCTTCCGAATTTGGACAGCTATCTATGCAATCCATCCACTGTGGTTTAGTCAATATACTGCGTACTATCTCCCGTTCACAAAAGATAGTACATAAAAGCACACCCGATGCACACTTCGAAACCCCAGCCCCACACTCATACAGTCAAGACCTCAGTGACCTCACCATTTCCCGTCATGCGCCGCTCACCTGTTGATGGGGCGCAGCAGGTTCTCCATCGTCTCGATCGTCAGCTCCCAGCTGACCTCGTTGGCGATGTTGTTCTGAATGTGGCGCAGCGAGCGCTGCACCGAACGCACACTTTGCTCCAGCGTGCCAATGCGGTCACTGAGCGCGGCGAACTGGTCGAGCAGCTGCGCATCGGTGTCACCCAGTATGTCGCCCAGCGCGCCCAAGTCCGGCAGGCGCACACCCGTCTCGTTGGCGAACGTCTTGTCCCAGATCTTGGCGACGAATTCGGTCACACCCAGCGCTGACAGGACGGAGGGGAGGGCGTCAGATGACGGACAGCGGGCTGCGGGGCATGATATGACGGACAACGGGCTGGGAGGCGTGAGATGACGGACAGCGGGGCTGGTGGGACACCAGATGACTTACAGTGGGGTTGCCGGGACGTCAGATGACGGAAAGCGGGGCTGGTGGGACACCAGATGACGTACAGCGGGGCTGCCGGGACGTCAGATGACGGACAGCGAGGCTGGTGGGACACCAGATGACGGACAGAGGGGCAGGCTGGGTGTCAGATGGTGAACAGCGGAGCTCGCAAAGCGTCAGACGGCGGACAGCGGGGCTGGCCGGACGTCAGATGACGGACAGCGAGGCTGGCGGGAAACCAGATGACTCAGATGGCGAACCGTGGGCTGGCGGGACGTCAGATGACGGACAGCGGGGGTGGAGGGGACGTCGGATGGCGAACAGCGGGCTGGCGGGACGCCAGATGACGAACAGTGGGGCTCGCAGAGCGTCAGATGACGGACAGGGGCTGGCCGGACGTCAGATGACGGAACAGCGAGGATGGTTGGACATCAGAGTATGGTGGAGGGATGTGGCGCACCGCCGCGAGAATAGGGGGGAGGGGTATGCTGGCAGTCGGACTCAAACGGGGGGAGAGGGGGCGAGAGCTAGTGCACCGTGGTTGAGGCACGGTAACGGCAATCGAATGAAATAGAGGAACACGGTAAAGGCACGTGAGGAACTTAACGTAGGCATGACGACTACCACGAATTTTTTGAGCTGGCGACGTCGTCGTCAGCGATGTGGCGTTCAAAAGTATTCTAGGCAATTCACATTCACACAAACTCACACATTTTTAGCCATTCACTTGCACTGCCGACGCAATGCCTGACCACATCCCCAGTCAGCGGCAAGCGACGCGAACCGGCTGAATGACCGACCACTTCCCCATTCACACGCACAACGCATTTCCACTGACGAACACCATCGCAGACGCCGCACGAGCGCCGACACGACGCTTGCCCGCCGTGCTCGCGGCCCGTTCATGAATACTGCGACGGCCTGCTTCCGGTCCGGATCAGACTGCCGACCTCCAGCACCTCCAGATGGCCAGACACCGTAGGGCCTGCCACAGCGAGCGCCAGCACCAGCAGCCCAGCCGCACGCATCGTGACGTCTGAAGAGGCCGCCCCCGCCTGCCGACACCGACCATCACCATTCTCAGTGCATACGCGCCGAGCTGAGCACCGTGGGGAGGGGCGGTCAACAAGTATGGTAGGGCCCGCGGCCGAGCCGCCATACTTGCGGCAACATGGCTGGTGGCGGTGGCCGGTGCAAGGAGTGACACAAGATAAACGCGGCCAACTGGTCCACTCGCTGATGCGAAGTGAAATATTGAGGTGAACGGCATGAAACGAAAGAAAACGGGACGATGCTGAATCACTGGTTTCCATATGTACAGCGACACTAGAGTTAGACAGTGAGATGGGGTGGAAAGGATGGTGGAAAACAAAGGTGATCCTAGGCTGCATGTGTTTGGGATAAAAGGTTGCCAGGACGTTGATATACATTTACATTAACCACGCTGGAAAACCGCAAGGCAAGGGGCCCGTGCAAATATAACAACAATACCAGTGTTACTAACATTCGTCGTCAATATTATTAACGGTGTACAACGTATCAGCTGTCGCGTGTACGCAACAACACGGATGAAGAAGCGTCAAAAGCTGCATTAAGTTGTTTTTCATGGAGCAGGCGCAAGCTAACGCGCACTTTGTGTATACAGGTCTTCTATAAACAGACGGCGGCCAGAGCCAAGATACAGACTGCGCATTTGTGCATACGCGGGTCCTGTGGGCGACAGAGTCGTGGGGAGCTCGCAAGGACGACGCGTTGTAAAAGGAGCTTCGCACGAATGGGCCTTCTCCGTTATGGGCCCCGCGGTCCGTCGCACGCACGAGCCTCCATAGGGCCCCTCCCTCTGGGTCCCTATGGACCTCGCAAGCATGGGCGGTCTCTCTCATGGGTCCCGGGGTCCCTCGAATGATTGCTGTTCGTGACAAAGAACATCAGCGGGAGCGCGATGCAACGCAACTCAGACATCCACTTAAAGAAATAAACGGGATCATCGTCGAGTCTTCTCAGACTATGACGCCCCTACGCACGAAAACAGCCCGTCGGGAGCGGCCAGAGAG